ACCACACGGCACCCCTGATTTCTAGGAAGCATAAACATGGGGGACCTTGTCTTCATTAGCACAGCATCCCCCCCACCCGCATTGAGTCACCGCTACCAGCTCCTACAGCCCCTGGGGGGAGGGGGTACGGGGACAGATGGGGGTTCATGGGGAGGGAGAGATGGGGCGCACTGGGGGGAGGGAGAGATGGGGCGCACGGGGAGGGAGGGGCAGCTAGAGGGGTGCACGGGGAGGGAGGGAGAGATGGGGCGCACGGGGAGGGAGGGGCAGCTAGAGGGGTGCACGTGGAGGGAGGGAGAGATGGGGCGCACGGGGAGGGAGGGGCGGCTGGCCGGGGCGCACGGGGCTGGGTAGGGGCCGCTCAGCCGATGGGGGCGGCAGGCTGCCGGCTCGGGGTGTGGCTGAGTCTCCCCAGATCCAAGAAAAACTTGAGCCCGTCTGCAGCGCAGCGCGATCCTCGGATCGTAGCAGGAGCCGGGGGAGGGGGCTGGAGGTGGGGGTGCGGAGAACCAGCTCGCCCCGCGGGGGAGCGGGCTGAAGCCCGGCAGTGGGAGCGGGCAGGAGCTGCAGAGCCCGGCACAGGGAGCGGAGCGGCTGAGCGGCGGGAGAAGGCAAGAGCGGGGTTTGGGCTGGGCCGGGCGGGGAGTGAGCAGCGGGGCGTTGGGTGGCGAGCGAAGGGAGGAAGGGGTGAGTGTGGCAGGGAGCAGGGGAGGAGGGTGTCTCTGTGCCGCAGGTCCCAGCTGGGAGCGGGACCCTGCCACTGGATGGAGCGTATGGGGATAGATCGACAGACAGAGGGGGTGCATGGGGACAGATAGATAGATAGATAGATAGATAGATGATGGTGTAGGGGATAGACAGACAGAGGGGATGTGGGGGGGGGGTGGATGGGAATGGATAGATAGGGGGTGTAGGGGCTAGACAGACAGAGGGGGTGTATGGGGATGGATGGATAGGGAGTGTAGGGGACAGACAGACATAGGGGATGGATGGATAGATAGGGGGGTGTAGGGGACAGACAGACAGAGGGGGTATGTGGGGATGGATGGATAGATAGGGAGTGTTGGGGACAGACAGACAGAGGGGGTGTGTGGGGATGGATGGATAGATAGGGGGTATAGGGGACAGACAGACAGAGGGGGTATGTGGGGATGGATGGATAGATAGGGAGTGTGGGGGACAGACAGACAGGGGGTGTATGGGGATGGATGGATGGATAGGGAGTGTAGGGGACAGACAGACAGAGGGGGTGTGTGGGGATGGATGGATGGATAGATAGGGAGTGTAGGGGACAGACAGACAGAGAGGATGTGTGGGGATGGATGGATAGATAGGGGGTATAGGGGATAGACAGACAGAGGGGGTGTATGGGGATGGATGGATGGATAGATAGGGAGTGTAGGGGACAGACAGACAGAGGGGGTATGTGGGGATGGATGGATAGATAGGGAGTGTAGGGGACAGACAGACAGAGGGGGTGTGTGGGGATGGATGGATGGATAGATAGGGAGTGTAGGGGACAGACAGACAGAGGGGGTGTGTGGGGATGGATGGATGGATAGATAGGGAGTGTAGGGGACAGACAGACAGAGGGGATGTGTGGGGATGGATGGATAGATAGGGGGTATAGGGGACAGACAGACAGAGGGGGTATGTGGGGATGGATGGATAGATAGGGAGTGTGGGGGACAGACAGACAGAGGGGGTGTATGGGGATGGATGGATGGATAGGGAGTGTAGGGGACAGACAGACATAGGGGGTGTATGGGGATGGATGGATGGATGGATAGATAGGGAGTGTAGGGGACAGACAGACAGAGAGGATGTGTGGGGATGGATGGATAGATAGGGGGTATAGGGGATAGACAGACAGAGGGGGTGTATAGGGATGGATGGATGGATGGATGGATGGATAGGGGGTGTAGGGGACAGACAGACATAGGGGGTGTATGGGGATGGATGGATGGATGGATGGATGGATAGATAGGGAGTGTAGGGGACAGACAGACATAGGGGATGGATGGATAGATAGGGGGTATAGGGGATAGACAGACAGAGGGGGTGTATGGGGATGGATGGATGGATGGGGGTGTAGGGGACAGACAGACATAGGGGGGTGTGTGGGGATGGATGGATAGATAGGGGGTATAGGGGATAGACAGACAGAGGGGGTGTATGGGGATGGATGGATGGATAGGGGGTGTAGGGGGATGGATGGATGGATGGATGGATAGGGGGTGTAGGGGACAGACAGACATAGGTGGTGTGTGGGGATGGATGGATAGATGGGGGTATAGGGGATAGAGAGACAGAGGGGGTGTATGGGGATGGATGGATGGATGGATGGATAGGGTGTGTAAGGGACAGACAGACATAGTGGGTGTGTGGGATGGATGGATAGATGGGGGTAGAGGGGATAGACAGACAGAGGGGATGTATGGGGATGGATGGATGGATAGAGAGAGGGGGTGTATGGAAATTGACAGATTAGGTAAATTAGGTAGCATGTGAGCCAGGAGGTGAGTGCAGCGGTGAAGGAGTGAATGGGGGAAAAGGAAAGAGCAAACCACTGAGGGAAGCCTTGAAGTTCTGGTGAACAAAAGCGAGTGTCAGGAAAGCAGAAGAGGAGAGAGCTGGGATCAGAGGGAGGCATGAAGAGGACTGTGTGCAGTGTGTGGGATGTGTGGTGCAGGAGGTGTGCAGTGCAGGGTGTACAGTGTGTGTACAGTGTGGGTGCAGTGCGGTGGAGTGATGGACTGTGTCTGTGCAGTGTGTTTACAATACACACTGGGGAGGAGTGGTGCAGTGAGGGGATGCAGTGTGTGTACAGTGTGGGTGCAGTGCGGTGGAGTGCTGGACTGTGTCTGTGCAGTGTGTTTACAATACACACTGGGGAGGAGTGGTGCAGTGAGGGGATGCAGTGTGTGTACAGTGTGGGTGCAGTGCGGTGGAGTGCTGGACTGTGTCTGTGCAGTGTGTTTACAATACACACTGGGGAGGAGTGGTGCAGTGAGGGGATGCAGTGTGTGTACAGTGTGGGTGCAGTGCGGTGGAGTGCTGGACTGTGTCTGTGCAGTGTGTTTACAATACACACTGGGGAGGAGTGGTGCAGTGAGGGGATGCAATGTGTGTACAGTGTGGGTGCAGTGCGGTGGAGTGCTGGACTGTGTCTGTGCAGTGTGTTTACAATACACACTGGGGAGGAGTGGTGCAGTGAGGGGATGCAGTGTGTGTACAGTGTGGATGCAGTGCGGTGTACAATGTGGGCTGACTGGGTGCGGTGACAGGCTGTGTGCGCGCAGTGTGAGGAATACAGTGTGCAGTGTGTACAATGTGAGTGCAGTGAAGTGGAATGCTGGACTGCGTGTGTGCAGTGTGTTTACAATACACACTGGGGAGGTGTGGGGCAGTGAGGGGGTGCAGTGTGTGTATACTGTGGGTGCAAGGGGTGGACAATATGGCTGTGGGGGGTGTTTCCAGTGGCCCGTGTTTCCAGGAGGGATTTTCCCATGCATAGAAGGGTGGGGGCAGGGTTGAGGCAGTCTGATCAGTGCACTTGCCAGGGAGGTGCCCAATGGCTCATGCGTGGCCCAGTCAGGACGGGTCCCTTCAGCAGACCCCAGGGCTCGGCCAGCTCCAGGAGTGGGACCCCCCCGCCTCATCCCCCAGGGCAGCAAGTCCATCTCAGGCTCTCCGGATCCCCCTCAGACCTAGCATCAGCCCTTCCTTTCCTGCCAGTGACCCAGCTGTCCCTCTCACCTCCCTCTTGGGGCTTATGCCCTCATATATAGCATTAGAGCAGGGGCTGGGAGCCAGGACTCCTGGGTTCTATCCCTGGCTCTGGGAGGGGAGTGGGGACTAGTGGTCAGAGCAGGGGGGGCTGGGAGCCAGGACTCCTGGGATCTTTCCCTGGCTCTGGGAGGGGAGTGGGGTCTAGTGGTCAGAGCAGGGGCCTGGGCGCCAGGACTCCTGGGTTCTCTCCCCGGCTCTGGGAGGGAAGTGAGATCTAGTGGGTTAGAGTAGGGGGGCTGGGTGCCAGGACTCCTGGGTTCTCTCCCCGTTTCTGGGAGGGAAGTGAGATCTAGTGGGTTAGAGCAGGGGGCTGGGCGCCAGGACTCCTGCCCATGCCTGTGTGCTGGGGTGATGCCCAGGTGCCCCCGCGGCTGGAGAGACCCAGGGACCAAGGGGTTTTCACTGCAGTTTCACGAAGGACGCTTGGGGGAGGGGGCCGGGACCGATGGGCTTAGCCCAGTCTGGGTCTGACCAGGGTCGTTGTAAGCGTCTTTCCTCAGACGGGGGGGGGGGGGGGCGCTGCCCCTGCAGCGGGTTGCCTGCTCTGGCCCTTGGGATCCCCGCCCGGGTGGGGGCCCTGCAGCCTGGCCCCAGGGGCAGGGTGGGAGTGGGGAGGATGCAGGGACCCGCCCAGCTCGGCAGATGCGGTCCAGGCTCCCGCTGCCCAGGGAGAGGGAGGGGACCAGCGCATTCCCAGCCCCGCCCGGTGCAGCGCGGGGCCTCCCCCGCCCTCCCCCCGCCCAGAGCAGGGCACCTCAGGGTGCGCGACCGACCGCCTGGTGGGCTGGGGGGGTCGTCCATCTGGGCTCCCCCAGGCATTGCTCGGTCTGGGGGCCGGGGCTGCGGGGACAGACGGACAGACTGACCGGTGTGTGAACGAGGAAGGAGGGAGGGGGCTGAGGGAACCAGGGGCTCTCTGTGCTGCGGGGGGCCGCGCTGGGTTTGCCCCAGGGCTTTCCGGGGGATCCCCTGTCCCTGTAGGGAGGCTGGGCTGGGGTAATCCCCAGGGGGCTCTTTGGGGAGGGCGGGGCCGGGGCTCCCCATGTCCTGCCTCAGTTTCACTACCTGTAAGGGGTTGAGACTCCGGGGATGAAGGATGTTGCGGGGAACGGGGGGGGGGGGGGGCTGGGACATCTTCCCCACACTAACGACCCCCGGCCCCTTCCAGTCCCCAGCCCGCAGCTGTCTGGAGCAGGAGACGACCCCCCCGCCCCTCCCTGGGCCGGGACATGAGGGAGGAGGCGCCGCCCGGCCCGACAGAGCAGCATGGGGCTCGCCCCCCTCCTCGCCCTCTTCCTCTGGAGCCGGTAAGTGGGGCCGGGCGTGGGGGCAGCAGGGTCCCTGGCTGGCAGGCTGGGTCCGGCGTGCCGGCCCCCGCCGCGTCTCAGCCAGTCCCCCTCTCCACACCCCGCACCCTCTGCCCGCGGGGCCACCTGTGCCAGGGGCGGGCGCCCGGACTCCTGGGTTCTACCCTTGGTCCCGGCGGGGAGCGGGGTCTAGTGGATAGAGTTGGGGCTGGGCTGGGAGCCAGGACTCCTGGGTTCTACCCTGGTTCTGGGCAGGGAATGGGGGCTAGTGGGTAGAGCAGGGGGCTGGGAGCCAGGACTCCTGGGTTCTCACTCAGCTCTGGGCAGACAGTGGGGGTCTAGTGGTTAGAAGAAGGGGGTGGGGCTGGGAGCCAGGAGGCCACTGACTGGATCTTGTGCAGGGTTATGGGGGGCTGGGTCTCATGGGGAGTTCAGGCGGTTTGTGGGGGTGGATCGCCTGAGGGTTACGGGGTCTCTTGGGGGGGTCACGGGGGGGGGTTATGTTCCCTCCCCATAGTAGGAAGCTTCGCTATTTCCCCTTCAGCATCCAGATATTTGTCTCCACGGCCACCCAGGTTATACGGGCCCCTCCCTCCATTGCCATGGAAACCCCTGTTCTAGACCTGGGGGGCAGGGGGCTCTCGCATCATCACGGGAACACCCGCCCTCCCCCAGAGTGGGTGCCGAGCCGGAGGGTGACGCACCTAATCCTCAAACCCCTTTAATCTGGTTCCAGGGCGGGGTGTGTATGTGAGGGGGGGAATTTCCCCTGCCAACGGGGCCAGGTGCAGAGCTCCTGCGGGGGTGGGGGAAGGGTCCTGGGTTTACACGCCTTGCACACACGTGTGATGCAGGCTGCCCATGGGTCCAGCTGAGTGTGCATGGCACATTGGACTCCTGGGTTCTCTCCCTGGCTCTGGGAGGGGAGAGGGGTCCAGAGGGTTAGAGCAAGGGGGGCTGGGAGCCAGGACTCCTGGGTTCTCTCCCTGGCTCTGGGAGGGGAGAGGGGTCCAGAGGGTTAGAGCAAGGGGGGCTGGGAGCCAGGACTCCTGGGTTCTCTCCCTGGCTCTGGGAGGGGAGAGGGGTCCAGAGGGTTAGAGCAAGGGGGGCTGGGAGCCAGGACTCCTGGGATCTTTCCCTGGCTCTCGGAGGGGAGTGGGGTCTAGTGGTCAGAGCAGGGGCCTGGGAGCCAGGACTCCTGGGTTCTCTCCCCTCCACTCTTCTCCTGTGCTTTGCTTCCCTTCCAGGGCCCTGGGTAACGACATTCTGGGGCTGAAGCTGCCGAGCGGCCCTGACCTGACCCCCAACACGGTGTGCCTGACCCTGCCGGGGCTCAGCAAGCGCCAGATGGGGCTATGCGTGCGCAGCCCCGACGCGGCCGCCTCGGCCCTGCAGGGCATCCAGGTCGCCATCCAGGAGTGTCAGCATCAGCTGCGGGACCAGCGCTGGAACTGTTCCAGCCTGGAGCGGGCGGGCCAGGTGCTGCAGGACAGCGCCATCCTCAAGAGAGGTGAGGGCCGGAGCAGGGGGAGCCCCGCCCCAGTGCAGCTTGCAGGGCGCGTTGGGGCCACCCCCCTCCCCTGCTCCCCGCAGCCTGGAGCGGCCTCCGAGGTTGCCTTGGCCCCTGCATCGAGGGGGAGGAGCGAAGAACGAACCCAGGCTCAAAGCGAGGGAGCCGGAGCCAGCCGCGGCCTGCCCGATCCTGCCGGGGCAGCCAACTCCCAGGGCGCGGCGAGTTCTGTGGGTCTCAGCCCAAGGCCCCGCTGGCGCGAAGGGGGCCGCTCCGGCAGAGACGCCCCAAGGTCCCAGATCTGGGGGGACGGGGCGGGATTGGGGTGCATGGCTGCGGGGCTGGGCACAGACAGCGCTTCCGGTGCCCCACGGGGGAGGGGGTAACCTGGCCCCTCAAGCCCGTTCATGCGCATGGAGCAGGGCAGTGTGGCTGGGTGGGAAGCTCTGAGGCGCACGAGTGGAGGCAATGAGGTGGTGGGCTCTGGAGACCTGCCTTCAAACACCCACTTCGGTCACAAGTGAAGCGAATGCAGCTGGTCTCAGCCCAGTTCAGCCAGGGGAGTGGTTTCAGTGAATCAGAAGAGGGAGTGCAGGGAGCTGTGGGTCGGGTCTGAGGGGGGCAGGGCTGGGTTAGCAGGAGCTGCGGGTCAGGAGTGAGGGGCACCGGCGGAGCTGGGGGGAGCTGAGCTGAGCTGACTGCAGGGGGCAGCAAGGATCCTGGGTGTGTTCGGAAAGAACTCAGGAGTTCTGGCGGAAATCTGACCCCAGTGACCCCGTTCCCCCTCCCCTCGCCCGGCCAGTTTCAGCTGGATACTCTGTTCCTCCTCGCCGACCGGGCTGCCTCATGCTCCACCCCAGAGCCAGCTGCACTTCTGCAGGGGGGACGGTGCCCGGGTTCCTCCTCGTCTCCTGGGAGGGGCCCAGCATGGTCCCCAGCTCACCCCCTCCCCCTGTGCTCCTCAGGCTTCCGGGAAAGCGCCTTCGCCTTCTCCCTGCTGGCGGCCGGCGTGATGCACTCGGTGGCCACGGCCTGTAGCCTGGGCAAGCTGCAGGGCTGCGGCTGCTCCTGGCGGGAGCGCGGCGGCCCGGAGAAGCGCCAGCTGAAGCTGAGCCAGCTGCAGGCGCTGTCCCGGGGCAAGGGCCTCCCCCCTCAGCTGGCCTCGCTCCTGGGCGAGCCCAGCCCGCAGGACACCTGGCAGTGGGGCGGCTGCGGACCCGACATCGGCTTCGGGGAGCGCTTCTCCCGGGACTTTCTGGACCCTCGGGAGGCGCCACGTGACATCCAGGCCCGGATGAGGGTCCACAACAACTGGGTGGGCAGACAGGTATGGGGGGAGGGGCATGGTGCGGGAGGGGCACAGTACCTGCGGGGCATGGGGGAGGGGCACAGAGGGGGCAGGGGCACTGGGGGAGGGGGACAGCGGGCAAGGAGAAGGGGGAGGGGTGTTAGGGGGCAGGGTGGGGAGATAAGTAGGGTGCCAACGGGGGCCAGGGTGGGGATAGGGGCTGGGGGGCCCTCGGGGGCAGGGTCGCGGCTGCTCACTGGGAGGCCCACGGCAGATGCCTCAGGCCAGGCGTGAGCAGGAAGGGTGCAGGTCTCGGCGGGGGGCTTCGTCCCGAGCCCCCGGCAGCCGCCGGTGATGAGCAGCGGCAGGCCCCACGGCTGCGGCCGCTGCGCGGCTGCCGCCCGGTCCTGCGGCAGGGAGTTCCGCCGGCTCACCCGGCTCCCCCGTCTCCCCCCGGCGCAGGTGGTGGCGGAGAACATGAAGCGCACGTGCAAGTGCCACGGCCCGTCGGGCAGCTGCCAGTTCCGCACCTGCTGGCCGGCGGCGCCCGAGTTCCGGCTGGTGGGCGCGGTGCTGCGGGAGCGGCTGCAGCGGGCCGCCTTCATCAGCGCCCGCAACCGCAACAGCGGCGTCTTCGGCCCGCGCCGCCTGGCCCGCCAGCTGGTCTACTTCGAGCCCTCGCCCGACTTCTGCGAGCGCGACCCGGCCCTCGGCTCGCCCGGCACCCACGGCCGCGCCTGCAACCGCAGCAGCCCCCGCGCCGACGGCTGCGCCAGCCTCTGCTGCGGGCGGGGCCACAACCTCCTGCGCCAGACCCGCGGCGAACGCTGCCGCTGCCGCTTCCAGTGGTGCTGCGCCGTGCGCTGCGAGGAGTGCCGGCTCGGCGCCTGGCTCAGCGTCTGCAAGTGAGGGGGGCCGGCCCCCCGCGCGCCCCGGAGGGGCTCCCCCGGGAGCGGCTCCGCGGCCGGAGAGAGGCGGTGGAAAGCCTGAGCCCCTGGGGCTCTGTGGGACGGGAACAGGCGGAGGGGGGGGGCCGCAGGGGGGGCGAGCTAAGCAAATTTTGCGAATGCTTTAAAGGCTGCAGGGGAGCAGCGGCGGGGGGTCGGGGGGGTGTTATGGGGATGCCAGGGGGCAGCGCAGGGGGTGGGGGGAGCGGGTCAGCGGATCAGCGGGGAGGTTGGGGGATGCTGCGGGCGCAGTGGGGGGTCGGGGGGTGGAGCAGTAGGGGTCAGGGAGGACGCAGTAGGAGTATGGGGTCGGGGGAGGAGCAGTGGGAGTCAGGGGGATGGAGTGGGAGTATGGGGGGAGCACGGGGGCTGGGGGATGCTCCGGGGGCAGTGGGGGGTTGGGGCAGAGCAGTGGGGGGCCGAGGCAGAGCAGTGGGGGGCCGGGGCAGAGCAGTGGGGGGTCAGGGGGTCGCAGTGAGAATCGGGGCAGAGCAGTGGGGGGTCAGGGGGTCACAGTGAGAATCGGGGCAGAGCAGTGGGGGGTCGGGGGTCGCAGTGGGATATCAGGTTTGGGGCATTGGGGGCTGGAGGTGGGTATCAGCAGGGGGCCGGTGTGGGGGACGCCGCAGGGTTAATTTATTGCTCTAGGGCACAGACCTCAGGGACTGTGCGCTCCGGGTGTCACTGGCTGTTTTCACACCTGTGCCTGACTCCCACAGCAAGCGGCTGCCCCGCTTGGCTAGTTTAGCAGCTACAGCCGGTTCCTGTCAGTAAAAGCACCTGCCTGGAGAGTGACTGTGGTGAATTCACTGGCACCGGGTTCCAGTGTCCGGCGCTGCACAGAGCCACCGGAAACTCCTTCCTGTGCTGGAGGCTTGCCGGGCGGGGCCTGCTCAGGCCTCGGGGTCCCCTCTGCTGTTGTGCCCCTCACGGCTGCAGGGGCTGGCATGGGTGCAGGGCTCCTCGCACGGACCCTTTCCCTGGGGTGGGGCAGGAAGCCCTGGGGCAGCAAATAGGATGGTTAAACATTTGTTAAATGGAAACTGGGAGGAAGAGGGATTGGAGGGGGCGGGGGCTGGGACTCCTGGGTTCTATCCCTGGTTCTGGATGGGGAGTGGGGTCCAGTGCGGGGGTGGGGGAGCTGGGAGCCAGGACTCCTGGGTTCTATCCCTGGTTCTGGGAGGGGAGTGGGGTCTAGTCGCTCATGTGGAGGACAGGACAATTCTTCATCCCACGAGGCCTGCGTTTAAGGCTGAGGAGCAAGTGTCCCATCACAGGGGAGTGGGAGAGGCAGGCAGTGGGTGCAGTTGGGCTCGGTGTGATGTGTGTGTGTGTTATTTGCACCTCTGCCTGTCTCTCTCCATGGCCCAAGCTGCTTGCTCTGGAAATCCCTCCTGGGTTGTGCTCCAGGGCCCCAGGGAATGACTTTGCTGCCATGTGGGGGTGGCCATTGCACGCAGGGTGGCACTGCGAGACCTAGCAGCTCATGGGACACACACTCCTCTCTGCCCCAGTGGATTTCGTGTGCCAGGACCCCACTAGAGCAGAGACACCCTCCCCTACAACCCTGGGGTGAGGGTGTGTCACGGAGTCCCTGGGCGATGCTCTGGAATTGCTCCCCATGAAGCCAGTCAGGACTCTGGGGCAGTCGCCTTTCTGTGAGCAGCCTGTCTGCAGGACACACAGCTCACACAGCTTCCACCTTCCTGGGTCTGACCTCGGAGCATTCAGCATCCTCTGCCCCTCCGTGCGCTTCCCCCAGCGAGTCCGCTCAGGCGGGGCTCCTGGGGAAGCCAGAGGGTCCTGCACCCCAACTCCGCAGTCAGACGTGACTCTCAGCCAGCCAGTAAAACAGAAGGTTTATTAGACGACAGGAACATGGTCTAAAACAGAGCTTGCAGGCGCAGAGAACGGGACCCCTCAGCTGGGTCCATTTTGGGGGCAGTGAGCCAGACAACCACGTCTGCACTTCACTCCATGTCCCAGCCAGCCCCAAACTGAAAAACCCTCCAGCCCCTCCTCCTCTGGGCTTTGTTCCTTTCCCGGGCCAGTAGGTCACCTGATTCCTTTGTTCTCCAACCCTTCAGCTCTCACCTTGCAGGGGGGAAGGGCCCAGGCCATCAGTTGCCAGGAAACAGGGTGTCGGCCATTCTCTGTGTCCAGACTCCTGCACACACATGCCCTCTAGGGCACTGCAATGATCATACACCCTTACCCCACCACCTAGATACTTAAGAACTGCCTAGGGGAAACTGAGGCACCCCCACACTATTCAGAGGAAACATTAAGAACAGTCCCACTTCGTCACATCTCTCCCCCCTTCGAGATCGAACTGAGCGGGGTCACTTTAGCCGGTGACCTGGGGAAGTTCGAAGCCACCAACGTTCCCATGGATGCCCCAGCATCTCTCCCATTCCTTGGTAGGAGTTACACCAGGCCCTTCCAGTTTCACGCCCTCCCTTAGATCAGGGGTGGTCGATAGCACTCGCAGGCCGCATGTGGGAAGGTTTATGCAGCCCATGCCCTTTGGCCACCCCAAGAATGTCTCCCCATTGACCATCTGTCGCGGAGTGTGGGGGGAGTCCAGGCCCTGCACCCCTCTTCCTGGGATCCACTGAGACTCTCAGCCAGCCAGTAAAACAGAAGGTTTATTGGACAGCAGGAACACAGTCCACAACAGAGCTTGTGGGTACAACCAGGACCCCTCGATCACGTCCTTCTGGGGGGAGCAGGGAGCTTAGACCCCAGCCCTGGGGTTCCCTGTGTTCCTCCCCCCAGCCTCCAAACTGCCAACTAACCCCACCCAGCAGGTTCCCTGCTGCAGCCTCTGTTCACATTCCCGGGCAGAGGTGTTACCTCCCCCTCCCCCTCCTGGCTCAGGTGACGGGCTCTCAGGTCTCCCATCCCCAGGGCACATTCCCAGGTCAACACTCCCCCCTCCCTGCTGAGTCACTTCGTCACATCTCTCCCCCCTTCGAGACTGAACTGAGCGGGGTCACTGTGACCAGTGACCTGGGGAAGTTCGGGGCCCCCTCTCCGGGACAGCGCATCCGCTATCAGGTTGGCACTTCCCTTCACGTGGACCACGTCCATGTCGTAATCCTGCAGGAGCAGGCTCCATCTCAGGAGCTTGGCGTTGGCTCCTTTCATCTGGTGCAGCCAGGTCAGGGGAGAGTGGTCGGTGTACACGGTGAAGTGCCGCCCGAAGAGATAGGGCTCTAGTTTCTTGAGGGCCCACACCATGGCCAGGCACTCCTTCTCGATGGCCGCGTAGTGTTGCTCCCGGGGTAGCAACTTCTTGCTCAGGTACACGATGGGGTGTCTCTCCCCCTTTTCATCCTCCTGCATTAACACCGCCCCCAGTCCCGTGTCGGAGGCGTCGGTGAACACCACAAAGGCCTTGTCAAAGTCCGGGTTCGCCAGAACTGGGCCACTGACCAGAGCCTCCTTCAGCGCCCGGAAAGCCACCTGGCACTGCTCGGTCCAGACCACCTTGTCTGGCTTCCCCTTCTTGCATAGCTCAGTGATGGGGGTGGCTATGGCGCTAAAGTGGGGCACAAATCTTCGGTAGTATCCTGCCATCCCAATAAAGGCTTGGACCTGCTTTTTGGTGTGGGGAGCGGGCCAGTCTCTGATCACCTCCACCTTGGCTGGTTCCGGCTTTAGGCGGCCGCTCCCCACCCGATGGCCCAGGTAAGACACTTCCGCCATCCCCACCTTGCACTTCTCCGCTTTACAGTCAGCCCAGCCCCCTGGAGTCGGTCCAGCACTTGTCTAACCTGGGACACGTGGTCCTCCCAGGTCTGGCTAAAGACACAGATGTCATCAATATACGCCACGGCAAAACTCTCCATCCCCCTCAGGAGCTGGTCCACCAGGCGTTGGAAGGTGGCCGGCGCTCCCTTGAGGCCGAAAGGCAGGGTCAGGAACTCATAGAGCCCCAGAGGGGTGATAAAGGCCGATTTCAGTCGGGCATCTGCATCCAGCGGCACTTGCCAGTAGCCCTTTGTAAGGTCCATGGTGGTAAGGTACCGAGCTCCTCCCAGTTTGTCTAGGAGCTCGTCCGGCCTGGGCATGGGGTAGGCATCAGATACAGTGATGGCATTGAGCTTCCGATAGTCCACGCAGAACCGGACCGACCCGTCCTTTTTGGGGACCAGCACCACCGGCGAGGCCCAAGGGCTGGCAGATGGCTGGATCACCCCCAAAGCCAGCATGTCCCGGACCTCTCTTTCCAGGTCCTGAGCAGTTTTCCCTGTGACTCGGAAGGGGGAGCATCTTATCGGCGGGTGCGACCCTGTCTGCACCCGGTGGACAGTCAGATTAGTGCGTCCAGGCTGGTTGGAAAACAGCTGTCGGTACGGATGCAGCACCCCCCTGACCTCAGCTTGCTGGGCAGGGGTTAGCTGATCCGAGAGGGGGATTGTTTCCAGGGGGGAACCAGCTCTGGTCCCAGGGAATAGATCTACTAAAGGGTCATCTCCCTGCTCTTCCCACTGTCCACACACGGCCAACACCACATTCCCCCTGGCATAATATGGCTTCATCATATTCACATGGTACACCCGGCGGTGGTGCGCCCGGTTCGACAGCTCCACCACATAGTTTACCTCATTGAGCTGCTTGACGACCTTGAAAGGGCCCTCCCAGGCGGCCTGTAGTTTGTTCTTTCTCACAGGGATGAGAACCATCACCGGATCCCCGGTGGCGTAGGCACGGGCCCTTGCCGTGCGGTCATACCAGACCTTCTGCTTCTTCTGGGCTCTGGCCAGATTCTCCCTGGCCAGGCCCATGAGTTCAGCCAGTCTCTCTCGGAAGATCAGGACATACTCCACCACTGACTCTCCATCGGGAGTGGCCTTCCCCTCCCACTCGTCTCTCATCAGGTCCAGGGGGCCCCTCACCCTCCTTCCATATAACAGTTCGAAAGGCGAAAATCCGGTAGACTCCTGGGGCACCTCCCTGTACGCGAACAGCAGGTGAGGTAAGTACTTGTCCCAATCCTGCGGGTGCTGGTTCATAAAGGTTTTCAGCATCATCTTTAGCGTCCCGTTAAACCTCT